CCCCATGTGCTGGTAAGTGCCTGGCCTAACCCCGACGAGGTAGTGACGAGGCTAGGACCAGACTCCAGATAAATCTGTGCAGTTATATATGTATATATAGCGAAAAAATAAACTAGAACAAACAATTAAAGCTAGGAAGGGGAAACATGCTTCGGGGAATAACAGATAAAACAAAATCTCAAGAGAATTATCAAGAAACTAAAATTTAACTTCTAACAAGAATAAAGAAAAACAAAGGCAGATTTCAATCTCGGTCCACTTCTCGTTGCAGGCGTGCAACCCGATCCCATTCCTCATATCTTGTGGTAGGCGTACCACCCGATACCATTTCATCATATCTCGTGGTAGGCGTACCACCCGATCCTATTTCATCATATCTCGTGGTAGGCGTACCACCCGATCCCATTTCATTATATCTCGTGGTAGGCGTACCACCCGATCCCATTTCATCATATCTCGTGGTAGGCGTACCACCCGATCCCATTTACAAGCCAACACAAAATCACAAGGAATCCCGTCAAGGGAACAAAGCAATATAATAACTTCCCGGCAAGGGAACAAAAGCAATGTAGTAACTTCCTGGCAAGGGAGCAACAATATCAAGACAAACATCCCGGCAAGGGAGAATCAGCTATAACCAATCCTAGCTCAACTCCTACTCAGCTCAATTAGTACCAACACTCAATCATAAATAAAATCCACGAAAATAAACTAAATCTTTGCTCAATATCGAGAATCATCAATTAAAGCATCCGTAGTAACTTTTAAGAACACAACATCTATCAATTCAAGACTCACGGTCATGCTCGACACTAACGTATAGATACTCGTCACCATGCCTATACGTCGTACTCAACAAGAAGCAATTAGCAAATAGGACACAACTCCTAATCCCTCAAGCTAAGGTTAGACCGGACACTTACGTCGAACTTCCACGACCAACTCAATCCTCAAATACCGCCTTTCCTTTTCGAATTTGGCTCCAACACAATCGTATCTATACATAATCGACTTAATAACATCAATAAATGCTAAACAATCCAATTTCAATGCTTAATTATAGCTTTTTAATCATTCTTCCCAAAAACTCAAAAATTGACCCCGGGCTCGCTTGGTCAAAACACGAGGTTCGGACCAAAACCGGATCACCCATTCACCAACGAGCCCGAATATATCATTTGTTTTGAAATCCGACCCCAAAACGAGGTCAAATTCCCAAATAATCAAAAAGCCAACTCTACCCCATTCCCCAATTTTCTACCATTAAACCCTAGAATTATTGATAAAAGTTGATGAAAAACATTAGATAGTTGAAAGAAATCCGTTAGTGAGTGCTTACTTGTGATTTGGGAAGAAAATCTCTTGAGAAAATCGCCCTAGTTCTTCTATTTTTTGTGAAAGTTTGAAAGAAAATCGCTGAAGTTATGTTTTAAAAAAGACTCACTGCCCGACTTCGGCATCTGCGGCTCAGGGGTTGCATCTGCGAAACCGCACGTGCGGAAAAATTGTCGCTTCTGCGGAAATGGCTAGGCCCTGCTGGGGCCGCACCTGTGAGAAAGGACCCGCTCCTGCGGAACCGCATCTGCGGAAAATTGTCCGCATCTGTGAAGGATTCCGCACCTGAGATGCACTTCTCGCACCTGCGAGTTCGCATTTGCGGCCCAAGAACCGCAGGTGCGGTTACACCAGTAATCCTGCATATTACGACTTCTTAGACAGAACAATATTTAATTAAAATAAATAAAGGCCAAATGACTAAAAATCATTTATTACCTCTCAAAGGGATACATCCATCTATATTGAACTGGCCCTCCAAGTCGTGCCTCTTGCGCAAGGTGAATTGGAAGATGCTCCATTACATCGAAAAAACCAAGAGGAAAAATTTTCGCCAACTTATTTAAAGTTAGGCGAATATTACTCTCCATGTAAGTTAGATTCTCCATCCTCAATGTGCTAGAACACAACTCCTTAAAAAATAAGCTTATCTCTGTGATAGGCTTCCATATTCTATCAGGCAAGGCATTGAACGCAATAGGCATCAATGATTCCATGAAAATATGACAATCATGGCTTTTCATTGACATCAACTTCCCTTCTTTCATGTCAACACACCTAGATAAGTTTGACGCGTATCCGTCTGGCATACTCAAATTCTTAACCCACTGACAAATCTCCCTTCTCTCATCCAAAGTGAATGTGTAACTGGCCTTGGGCTTCTGAATCTTGTTATTCAGGTATGTAAGGTACAACTCACTTCGCCTACAATATTCCTTCAAGTCCATCCTGGCCTTCAAGTTATCTTTTGTCTTGTTATTGACATCCATCACAGTATTAAACAAGTTATCAAAAAAGTTCTTCTCAATATGCATGACGTCAAGATTATGCCTTAGAAGATTATGCTTCCAATAAGGTAACTCCCAAAATATGCTCTGTTTAGTCCAGTTATGGGTAATACCATAACCAGGTATCTTATTAGGCAATGGAGACTCTGTTACCTTAGGTAGATCCCTAACTCTATTCCAAATTTCTTCTGGTGACAAGACCGAAGGTGGCTCTTCATAATCAATTTGATTCTTCATAAATGCACTAGTGTTTCTCTTAAATTCATGATCCATTGGCAAGAAACGACGGTGATAGTCAACCCATGTGTTCTTACCTCCATGTTTCAAAGTGAACGCTTTTGTGTCTTCCATGCAAGTCGGGCAAGCTAACTTTCCAGCAGTAGACCACCCGGATAACATTCCATAAGAAGAAAAATTATTTATAGTCCACATTAAAGCAGCATGCAATCTGAAGTTCTGTATAGTTGATATATCATAGGTTTCCACATCGTGATGCTACAATAACTTTAACTCATCAATCAACGGCTGCATATATACATCAATCAAACTTTTTGTATTGCGTGGACCTGGAATAATGCAAGTTAGGAACAAATATGGACTTGTCATACAAAACTCTGGAGGAAGATTATACGGCGTAACAAACACTGGCCAACATGAATATGGTGCGGCAGAGACTGCAAATGGAGTGAATCCATCAGCACATAATCCCAACCTAATATTTCTTGGTTCACTTGCAAAGTCCAGGAACATCCTATCAAAATGCTTCCATGCTTCCATCTGACGGGTGACATAGAACACCGGTTGGCCTTCTATGTTCATAGTGCCATCTCATATGAGGAGCGGGGCTCATTGATGCTTAAAACCTCTTTAACCTTGGTATAAGGGGTACGTAATGCATCGCCTTCACAAGAATCTTCTTCTTATTAGCATTTGTAACCTCCTTATAACGAGGTTGGTTACAAAACTTACAATTTTGTAGTGTCGTATCATCCTTATAAAATAACATGCATCCTTTCTCACAATAGTCAATCCTCTCTGATGAAAGTCCTAACTTGGACACCAATTTCTTTGCAGTATTGAAATCTTTGGGTAAGTCAATTTTATTCGGATTCAGTTCATTCATAAGCCCAATGATAGAATCCATGCCCGCTTGAGAAATAGAACTATCGGATTTGATAGTTAGTAGTCTAACTGCAACAGACAACTTGGAATGCATTGAGCCTTCATACAATGGACGACTAGCTTCCTCTAGTTGTTCATAAAAGCGCTTAGCCTCATCATTTGGTTCGGATTGAGCCCCTCGGAACATCTCAAGAGCATCTCTCATCATTTTATTGAATCGAAAATTTTCAAAATTATTCTCTACTCTGGGACTACCCTCACCACCAAAAGAATTATGAAAATCATGATTCTCTCCATGAACAGTCCACACATAATAATTTTCTATAAATCCATTCTTGTAAATATGAAGTTCAACTACATCTGATCTCAATTACTTGACACACTTGCATTTAATACAAGGGCACCTAATTGTCCCTTCAATAAGAAAATCATTTAGCGATTTCGCCTTAGCAATAAACCCCGCAACTCCTTCTATAAATTCCTCCCTCAATCCCGCACGATTAGGATGAGTCCTATTATACATCCATCTACGATGTTCAAATTCCATCTACATCAAGAGAAAAAACTATTGAGATATTCTTCTAAAGATTCCTACTTTGAATAATTGTAATACCTTCAACAAAGTAAACAACGGTTAACACTATGTGGCTAACATCTCTTCCCTCAAAGGCTCAAACAAAGAATTAACAAAAAAAGTTATGGACACAACAGGACACAAAATTGAGGTGATAATGTTAAAGAGTGCAAAGCAACTCAAGCTACAAAGTGGTCGAATGTCATATTTATTACTATATGAAATTACAATCTTGTAAAAAAAATTGACAAGCCAAGTGTCTGCCACAAGAGCGAAAAATAGAGCTGATCAAATTGATGCGGCTAATTAAATTTGATAAGAAGTTATATTTTCGAAATAATTTTTATTTCACTAGAAACTTCTCCTCCTTCAACAACAATGAAAATAAAGTATATTAGTGCATATCGGAAATTCGAACTTTCTTACAAGTGACACTTGTATTCTAATGATATTGTGTAATTAAGGTTAGATCTCTATTTTTTGGTTGTTGTTACTATTTCTCTTTACGTAATTTTTTGTTATAATTGTTGTGATTTTACTTTCATTGAGACAAAAATCTATCTAAAACAAGCTTTCTACCATCACAAGATAGAAGTAATTTTTGCGTATGACACTTATTTAATATCGTCATATCCTTACTTTCTTGTAGTGCCTCCCGGACCTTACTTGTGAAAATACACGGGGTATATTTTATTGTGTAAGGTTAGAGTTTGGACTCTTGACGAATATTCTTACCCTTGGCAGCGTCAAAATTTTTCTTGGAAAACAAGGTAATGTATTCTTAAAGCTACCAAATAGTTTTTTTCTAATCTTAATACGAGAAGATGATTAACAAGGTAATTGAGTAACTGATCGTTTGATCATAGAAAAACAGCCTAGGACAACTTCATATGTTCATTTTTTAAGACTTCGAGAAGTTTATACTAAAAGGAATGATCTTAAGCTTCATGTTGGTTTACGACATGAACCAAGAAATGAGTGGCGTCATAGTTGAGGATCAGAAGCAGCAGCAAGAAATGAAAGGTGTGAATGGGGGTGTTCACGAGTATATTAAGATCGACTATGTGTCTCCTGCACTAATGGTAGCTAACCTTTTACCTCATCTGCCCCTGAATTTGGAAGTATAAATAAGTAATCAAGCTTAAGATTTCCAGGGAACACAAAAGAAAAAAGAAGAGTCCAAAAAAGGGGCGGAGCCACATTATTAGTTACAGGTTAAAAAATTTATAACTTTTTCTTAGGTATTTATCTTATGCATTGACGACAGTAGATATGCTAGAAAGCTGAATAATGATTGATTCTACTAGTTCTTTTATTTCTTTTTTGTTGTAATTTCTATGATCAGGAGATGTCTTATCTGGAATAGGAGAACATCTTGGTATTCTTCAAGAATTGTTTGGGATTCAATGGTGGAATTCTTGTTATCTATCGATCCTATTCACTCTCTTGTTTGTTGTGCTTCCTCTAGTCCTCTACCGTCGTGTAGGTCAGTACATCCTGTCCAATGTTGTTGAATTTCGGTCAGATTTACTTGACTAATATTTAAACAAGTAAAAAGATTTTACTAGTAGTTTGCTTTTCTATGGCTTGTGATTGCAGAATCATTATGGTTTAGTTCAGCAGTAGCGATTCTCCTAGCAATTGTATTTGTCGGTATATGTACTGTAATGGCAGTCATTGCAATAGCAGAAGGGCAAATAGTAAGGCCAAGAATGCTACCGGAGTTGAATAGTACTAGTTCCTTCTTTAATCTTTTCACCGCCATCCCAGTCATTGTAACAGCTTTTGCATTTCACTTCAACGGTAAGAGCTACTACATTAGTTAGATACTTGATCATACTCTAGATGTTAAATTTACAAACTTTTGAAATAAAAACTTGAATGCAGTTCATCCTATTGGAATTGAGCTAGGGAAACCTGGAGCTATGACCACTGCTGTCAAAATTTCACTAGTAATTTGTGCAGCCATATATTTTTCGATTGGCATTTTTGGATACCTTTTGTTTGGAGATTCAATAAATGCAGATATACTTGTAAATTTTGGTAAGTCCTCTGGCAATGTTGCAATCAGTCCTACTCTAAATGATGTGGTTCGCTTGAGCTATGCGCTTCACCTAATGCTAGTGTTTCCTCTCTTAAACTTCTCTCTGAGGGCCAATATCGACGAACTCATATTCCCTAAGAAAGAGCATTTGGCAACTGACACGAAACGATTCATGTACCTTACATTGATCTTGTTAGCCTTGTCATATTTAGTAGCCATTGCTAATGTCGTCATTGCATAAGATAATTATCATATGGTGACCACTTGTCCTGCCTCAGCCACCATTGCTAAAATCAATACTATCCATTGCGGCGGCAAAGCTAATTTGTGCTAGGTGACTAAAAAATATGTCGTTCCTTTAGTATTATTCTCTTTATTTTATTCTATTTTATATAGAGCTAGAGTATAGCTTACCCAAATCTTATAGTTTTAGTTCAAACTGAAAACAAATTAGCTAGAACTTAGAAACAAACTGATTTAGCACGATCATACATAGAATCAAGCGAAGCTACTAGTCGCGGACTAATAGAGGTGAACGAAACATGACAACGATAAACACAAATAGCTCCAATGAAGAAAAACCAATTCAACTGTTATAGTTTATTCTAATACTCAAATTGATTTTGAACATGTAAAAGCAATCAATTAGTTAGAAATTGCAAATTGGTAAAGGTTTCGTACCTTATAACAGTGAAATTGCTAACCAAAATGTTATCTTCCCTTTGCCTTGCAGCCCGCAACTTCCACTTGTTGGAGAATTCCTATACACAAATTGCCAGACCATGATCACACAATTAACATCCAAAAATATCTGTATAAAATTTTATCTTAAAATTACAAGAATACACAAATTGCTACCTTAAGATACTTTTGCCCAAAAAGTAAGGTTTAGCATAACAATTTCAATAAACACCACCTTCCAAGTACCTCTTATACTTTTCCTGAAAATTATATTTTTTTGCACTAAAATACAACAACTTAATATGTCACTTACCTTCTTTTAACTTGCAATTTACTTTACTGTAAAACAGATATTATCACTTTTCGAAAATTCTGATAAAAATTTATTTCCCTAGAGAAATCAAACGCATAAGGAAAAGAAATTCCATCAGATGTTATGACTAATAAGTACGTCTTCCTCTTGTCAATATATTTCATTGACATCATCAACATCCAAAAAATTGATATACTTTGGAAGAAGCTTAACTTCTTTATTTTGGGAATGAGTTTTGATTGATCATATAAGAATATACTTCAATTGATATGCCTTTAGAAATACTTATCGAAGTGGAGTGACGGTGGCAGCAGAGTGGTTGAGAGGAGGTTAGGCGGTGAGAGAGAGAGGAGACTGAAAAGAGAGAGGAGATGAGCGAAATAAAACCTAGATTTGTAGTTATTTTATTTTTCCGACTACTGCAGTCGGAAATTTCTTTTTTATTTTGCTCAAGTTTTGTTAACTTATTTTTTATTTTAGTCGACTTTTTAATTAAAATTGTGATCCTCAAATTTGTGCAATTATTTACTTTTCCGACTACTGTAGTTGGAAATGCCTTTTTTATTTGAAGGAAAATTAAAAATTAATTTTTAATTTTTCGACTACTGTAGTCGGAAGATTGGTCAAATTTTATTATTGACTTTGTCCCAATTATAGTGGTCGGAAAAATTAATTCGCGGGATTTTGCGCCAAATTTTACGACTGATACAATCGAAAAGGCAGTCGTCTACAAAGTAAAAAAAAAAAATTAAAAAAATAAATTATACTTTTCCGACTACTGTAGTCGGAAAATTACGACTACTATTTTGTAGTCGGAATCTGTAGTCGGAAAATAACATTTTTTTGGTAGTGCATATATACGCGTATATAACGCCATCTGTTCATGGGTCAATGTACATGTATAAATGCATGAAATGCACATGAAATACGTTAATAAAATCTCTCGGTACGTCATAAGACTATTATACCTCTAATTAATATCATGAAAAGTTAAAAGTTGACTAAAAGAAGTTCGGTTTTCTAAAGTATGTTATCTAAAACATGCTAGGAATAAAATGGGCTAATGCTCTGAAGAAAAATATTTGGGAGAAATTCAAAAATAGCTAGATTTACCAATGGTCGTTGAAAAATAGCCAAGTTTCAAAAGTCATCGATATTTAGCCACTTTAAATCTGAGCGAAAACACTGTTCAAAATCCGGAAAAATACACCCGCAAATTTTACGGGAGTTCCAGCATAAGTATGCTTGAACTGCCGTAAATTTTACGGGAGTTCCAGGATAACTATGCTGGAACTCCCGCAAATTTTACGGGAGTTCAAGCATAATTATGCTGGAACTCTCGCAAATTTTACGGGAGTTCCAGCAAGTATAATTGTCCAGTACAATATACTGGAGTTTGGAGCACTGGTGCTCCAGTCTCCCGCAAATTTTACAGGAGTTAGCAAAGTATACCGGTCCAGCATAATATGCTGGAGTTCGTACACAAATGCACCAGAACTCCCGTATATTATACTGGACCGGTCCCTGTTGCAGCAAAATAGTGGCTATTTTTCATTGACTTGATAAACGCTGGCTATTTTTCATTGACCAGTGTGAAAACTGGCTATACCATGATATTTTAACAAAATATTTTGTTGCCAACAATGAGCACCTGAAGTGACCAACTATAATAGTTAAAATATCCATTGACTGACCGAATTTCCTAAAAATACCCAAAATCCATAACTCTCATGTTTATCTTTCAATCCACATGTATGAATAAAAAAAAAAAGAGATACATTTTGCTGGCACAACCATGTGCTATTTAGTTCCTTCTTCGTTTGTAAGGTTTTAAATATACAAACTAAAAATTATTTGGTTGAATAACTGTAGCTGCACAGACAAATAGCGAGGAAGAAAAGAAATTTAAAAAGAGTGTATTTGATGTTATTACCGTTTAGACTGGGTATAGACTGGGCAAGGTCCAAATATGCTAAAGCGTGGAAGTATTAACAAGCAGATACATGTTGCTCAAAGATATATTTTTACAAGCTCAAAAACATCAATTTTGCTGATCGTTGAGAACATTCAGAAGAAAGGAGAAGAAAGAAAGAGCAAACAGTAAAGAAGTTAATTATTTGTTTCTAGGAATTAAGAGCAGCCAAAATGACTTCTCACGGTCAAATACCAACATAAGTATATATAATTCTCTTTCATTGCATATGCCAGTTGCAATATGATACTATTTTAATCATGTCTTTGCATCCAATATCCAGAAGATATTCTGCTGATTGAGATTCCCGCTTCACGTACTTAGACATGCTTGAATATCACTTTACCGGAATGAATAACATAGACTTCCTTAACTGCTAAGAGTAGAATCACTTATAGAATAGCATTACGTATACATATCGTTACTTGGATCATGCTAAACGAAAAGGTGTAACACCCCGTAAAATTGAACCGGTTGTGGATGCATTAAATGAGTATCAACGTAATGGTAATCAAATTGTTATGATAGTAAGTGTACGAGGCATATCATAAGTTATTTAGGGTCCAAAGACAGACCTATGTCTAAGCCAAGTTGGAAAACTACATGAAAGACTAAAATTCCAAATGGGTAAGCACAAGACCATACTTTCGACGAGCATATCTACAGAAAATAAGGTGTTAGATGATGCAAAGCCTACCAAATGAAAGGCCTTTGAGTCTAGTTTCTAACGCTTCAAACCGTTCGTCGTTTGGACTTTCCTACAAGAAGTTATGACCAAATTACCAAAGGCTAGTGGAGGACTGCGCGGATGCGAAGCATCCGAGGCCGCGTCCAAAAAGAGGAGCTGGCAGTGAAGTGCTACCATAGCATCCGGGTCAGCATCCGAGCTCCTGAGAGGAGTGAAGTGGGGATGCGAAGCATCCACGTCCACATCCGAAATCTAGGCTTATAAACACAATTTCGGAATTTATTTTCCCCATTTCTTTTGTACGACTTTTAGGGTTTTCCTCCACTCTCTCAAGACCTCCAACCCCTCCCATCTTCAAGGTAAGCAATCCCCATTATCTTGGTGTGAAATTCCATAATTTCTACACTAATATTGATGAATTCTATACATAAAATACTTAGATCTTCGAGAGATTTCTTCAAGAACGCAAAGGAGGGTTTTGCAAGATTTCTTTCAAAAAGGTAATCCTACACCCTTAGACTTACATGTATGAATTTATTAAGGGAATATGAGTAGGAATAAGTATTGAAACTCTTGGTATGGTGATTGGAAGCCATAAGTTCCCTATTTAATTACATAACTATTGTTGAGATTTAAAGATGATTAATTGATGGAATTTTGTTGGTTGGGTGTGGATGGATGGTCATATATGTGATGTTGGAAGTTATAAATTGGTTAATCATGATGGTGGGATAAATTGTTGATGAATGGTGGTAGTTGGATGAACTAATTATATGGTGATGAGATGTAGAGATTTATGCCTACAAGGTGTTTGATAATATGCCTAAATGGCTTAAGCTATGAAATTTGTTACTAATATTGGTTCAATTGGATATTGCTATTGTAGATTGAAGGTTCTTAGTATTGTGGATCATTGTAGTAGCACTAAGGGGCAAAATTGAGGTATGTGAGGCTAACTCTCTTTACGTTTGGGAATGTCTATGATTCTCCCTACGTCCCATTCATTATGACTATTACTAGTTTCCTCAGAAAGTAATTATGGCTTAGTTCCATGAATATTCGTAGAACTTCTATTCTCTAGCTTCGTAACTCATTCACGACTTTCATTCTAAACGTTGTGAAATCAGTGAATAATCAATATAAAAACTTGGGTTTGATGCCCATGAGTCTCAGTCTAGATTACTCAGCATGTCATAAACAGTTGAAGTTTCAGTTTTCATAATCAGTTCATGAATACATGCCTCAGTCCAGTTCTATTTAGCATTCGAGTATCGTGTAACTCAATATGATTCAGTATTTCAGTATGATTCTCAGTTCCTGAATGTTGAACACCTGTATTTGGGCCTGAGGCCGTAGTTTATGTTATGCCCTGCAGTATTTTATTACGATGATGTTAGGCCTCGCAATATTATATTACGATGATGTTACGCTCAGTAGTATTAAATTACGACGATGATACACCATGTAGTATTGTACGTTGGATTTGTTGTAAGATAATTGACATAAGTTCAAGGACAAGATTATTTGAAAATTATAAGCATTATGCTATTTCAAACAAGTGATGAGAGTAAATTCGTGAAAGTGAGA